GAGCCCAACTTTAAGTCCTTTATTTGAAAAGCCTTCTCCGGCCCACCATAATAGGGGTCCACTCGATTGGGCCCTTCTTTTCGTCCCACGTGACCACTTAAAGAGTCACGCCCCCCTGTTTTAATGGTCGAACCAGCAACCTTCCCTGTCTGAGATTGCTGGTTCAGGTAACATTCTGTTAATATGAATACATCAGTGTCATTTACAATATAATTATTTGTCTCCCTTTGGCATACTAACATGTTTCATATTTATTACATTCATCTAGTATATGTTTGGCATCGATGCTGCAGATACTGCTGATGTATGGGTTGGAAGCACCGTTTTCTGAGAAAACAGTGTTTTTTTTTTGTTTGGAAACGTTGCTGCCAGGTAGGACGTTTCCTGGAGCAACAGCAACACCTGTCTGGTACCAGTGCTCCATATCTGTTTTCAGCACTAGTACCCATTATAGGAAGTCTACGTCACTGACACATCATGTCCTCGTTGGCAGCAACGAGCTCCAATCTAAGAAAATGTCGAATTCGGCGTTGCTCTGAACCATGCCTTCTCGATTTCCAAGGCATGGCTTGGAGCACCGTTTTTTATGGAAAAACGGTTCCAAACATATTGACGCTTTTTGGAGCACCGTTTTTTCCAACATGGCACTGATGTGCCACCGTTTTCTGGAGCAACGGCATCGATGCCAAACAGACGCCTAGTTACTTAGGCTAAATTATATTCATAAGAACCCATCCTTTATGTCTAGGAATCAAGTTTCCTTTGTCTGGTAGAGTGCATGTGAGTCAAATTAATGGCTATCTTCGATTGTCTAGAGGTTGGTCTGATTCTTATTATTGCTTAGATTTTAAGTATTTTGAACTATTATTCATGTGGACAAAATTGAATTTTATATGGAAAATTCTTCACCTTGTTAGCTTAAATGTAGACATGTTTTTACAGTGCACTCTATAATGTAGGTATTATTTGAGAGACCCAAGTTTCACTGGTGGAATCTATATAGCCTTTATGGAGGGCTCTTGTTGTTTTTCATTTGTTCTATCTTGAAGTATGTAAATACATTCTTCTATCTATTTATTATTTTTTTATTATTATTATTATTACTACTTTTTTCTTTTTTGTTTGTTTAACATATTTTGACATCATAATTTTGTATAGCAGTCTAAAACTTTGAAAAATTATTTCTAAAAAGCAATTTTGATTTTGTTTTATTTGCTTTACTGTGTACTTTGTTTTAAGTGATCCATGATCAGAACAATCCTTTTCTATTCATAGATGTCTATGGATGCTTAAATATTTACATAAACATGCAACAGTATTATTCCAAAAGCTATTTCTGAAGAATTGGAGGTTAACATCCAATATATTCAGTTAATTTGGAATTTGATTGACTTTTATTTGTTTGAACTCTGAATCCTCATTGACTTTCAGTTTCAGGCATATCACATTGGGTGGATGACAAAGATGCAGAAGTTTTACGTCTTGGATTTGTATGTTCTAGTTCTTATCCAGAACTCGTGTTCTGCGTGTATACATAGCTGTTGGTTCCTATGGTTCTTATCTACCAATAGCCCTTGGTTCCTATGGTTTTTATCTACCTACCATTCATTCCTGTCTGTCATTGAGCATCTCCTGATTGAGAAACTATTATATTGCACTGTAAATGTGGTAAAAAGTTTCCAATTTTCTGCTTGACTAAAATAGCTAATTCGATATTTGTTTCTTCTATTATGTATTTAATGATAAAATCTATTAGCTCTGAATAAGTATTGGTTTTTTCACAAGTAATTGGATATAATCTATTTGCTTATAGAAGAAGTTTTGTGGATTAATTTTTGATAGAAATTACAAACAAATCTATAGGTCTTCATTGTTGATCCTTAGAAACATGTATCCCATCCTTTTCATTTTCTCCCTTGTTAGACATGTCTTGGTAATGGGTATTCATTTAGTTTGTGGTCTGATTTTTTGGGTGATGATTTCATTGAGGCTGAAGTATCTAATATTCTATTCAAACCTTAACCTGATTTTGCCCCTCCTAGGTCTGAAGATTGATGATATTGTTTGATTGCTTTTACCTTTGGCACTTTGAATGAGGTCAACCATAATCCACCATGTTTGACTATTGATTTTGGCCTCTATTTCCTTTATTGGTTTTCTTGCCTAAATCCTTTTTCCAATCCATTATCTCTATTTTTTTTCTGGAAATATTGTCTCTTATCTGCAATTCTGCATAAAGAAGGTAGGACAAAACTTGACTTTTGTGGAGGATTTGGTTACAATGGATTGTTTCTTGCATTTACATTAGATGAGGGAATCCCCAAGAAAAATATCCAATTGTAGATTGATGGGTGTTAAGACACCCGGTTCATTTAGAATCAAAATAGGTTTAAAGATGAACTAGGGAGAAAAGGGGAAAGAACAAAGCTCTCTCAACAGTGCCATGAAGGTAATGAGTGATCCCATGGACCGTAGATAGATGAAAATTGCACAAAGCAGACTGTTGTTCCTTCTGCAAATCCAATGGTGAGGATTGCTTCCACCTGTTTTTATCTTGCTTTGTTGCTACAACTATTTGGTTTTGGATATTTGCCCTTTTTAGTTGCAGGTGGTTGCTGCCAGCAGAAGTCTCTCAGTTGTTTGAACCCTCAATCCTTGGTCGGCAATTAAAGAGGAAGATTAATGTGGAGGTGCATTAGGGCAGCTTCTTTATGGACTATTTTGGAGGAAAAGAACACTAGAATCTTCCACAATAAGGAGAGAAGCCTTTCTGAGTTGAAGGACTGCATATTGATAAGGGCAATACACTGGTTGAGAACAACAAACTTATCCCAACTTTTTTCCTTTGATGACTTCTGGAGGAACTGGTCAACAGTGGCCAGCACTTCATCCTCAAAACAGAGTTATGTTGCAGTTTAGGTCCCTCCTGAGGATTTTATTAAACTAAACTTTGATGGGAGCAGCCAAGGTAACCTTGGCCCCTTTGGTATAGGAGTCTTGAGAGATAAGGACCGCAATGTTTTAGCATCACTGTGGGAAGAAAGAAATTCACGATTTTTTTTTAGATAAGGAAAGAACTCTGGAAGACTTATTAGACCTAATACTTTTAAGGGCTGCCCACTGGCTAAAATCTATGGAATTGTTTACAGACTTTCCTATGGCTGACCTGTTAAGAAACTGGAAAGAGATAGCTACCTCTACTCTGTGTAAGAAGACTCTTAGTTCCTCGTGGTCCCCTCCTCCCTCTGGATTTATAAAATTGAATTTTGATGGTAGTAGTTTAAGGAATCCAGGTCCCTCTGGGATTGGGGGAGTATTCAGGAATGAGGAAGGGATTGTTATTGCTTTGTTCTCAGGCCCTGTTGGAGAAGGAGACTCACTTAGGGCTGAGATCCTTGCAGCTCTGGAAGGAATTCAAAGAGCAACGGAACTAAATATCAGTTGTTTGATCCTGGAAGGTGATTCAAAGGTGGTGATTAGTTGGTTGAAGAAAGAGGATAGTGGTTTGTGGAGCTATAACAATGAAAAGAAAAAAATTCTTATGGCTGTGTAGGGACATTGAGATACAATACAGCTGGGTGAAGAGGACCACTAATTCATTTGCAGATGGGTTGGCCAAGCAAGGGGTGAATAGGGAGTCTATCTTTTGGGCTAATTTTTAATTTCCTTTCATTGTATTTTGTTGATGGGGAGCTAAGACATTTTATCTCCCCCTTTTGTATCTAAAGCTTCACAAATCTTTACATAATTAATAAAGTTTTTGTTATTGATCCAAAAAAAAATGTTTTAGCATTATTCTCAGGCCCAGTTGGTTTAGGAGACTTTACCAAAGCAGAGCAACTAGCTGCTGTACAAGGGATTCAGCTAGCCAGTCAACTTGGTATAGAAAGGCTAATAATTGGAGGAGATTCCCAGGTTGTTATGGGATGGTTGGTGGATCTGGATTCAACTGTCTGGGGTTTAAGAGATCTTAAGAAGGTGGTTTGGTTAACAAGGAATGTGATAGTGAAGATCCAATGGGTAAGAAGATTGTCAAATGAGATGGCTGATTCTCTTGCAAAATAAGGGGTTAACAGGCATTCTCTGTTCTGGGCAGCTTTGTAATTGTGTATAATCTCTCTTCTAGTGGGTTACTTGTATTTTCATGTAGTTCTGTTATTTTCTTAAGAGTGATGCTGTACCTTGAGCCTCTCTCTGGGTTTATTTGTAATAGATCAATCCTTTGATTAATGAATTATTTTTCAATTGTCAAAAAAAAAAAAAAACATTGGACACAGCAGACACAGACTGATTGACTTGGACAGCATGAGTCATCCTAAGGTAAATAAAACAGCCAACAAGTTGGCAATATAGAGAGGGATCCTGCAGTGGTTCATTATCATAAGGGGGATATTAATATTTAAGTCCATAGGAGTATTGACTTGTTTGGTGCCATTAACATGAGCAAGTCAAATCAGATCCAATGTATATTTTCGTTCATTCACAAAGTGTTCATGGGAAGAGTGAGACAGAATGTCTTTCCAGATTTTTCTGCAATACTAGTTCACATCTCTTATCTCTGAAATGAAGGAAGCTTTCATGAAGACAGTGGGCAATATGTCTTATTATTTAAGGCTTTTAGAAACAAGTTTGGTAGGCTATTTTGTTAATTCTGACCTAGAGAAGGAGGAGGAGGTGTTGAAGTGGGTTGCTTCTGGGTGGCAAACAAAGGGAAAAAAATTAAGGTTAGGAAACTCAATACAGGTTTCTTACTCTTTATTTTGAGCAGCTTGGAGAAGGCCAATGAAGTTTTGAACTGGGAAATCAATCAAGTGAGATCACCAAAGTTGAGGTTGGGCAGGTGTACTAGTTGGTGTGATTTGGGAGTTTAGGGCTAGAGGTCTTGTATGGATTAATGTTTTTTGTATCCCTCTTCATATATGGTATTTGTAGACATTCCATGATGTGGGGCATGCGTGTGGGAGATTTAGAAAAACTGACCCTTGCACAAACAGGTGGAAAAATCTGATAATGGCATGGATACTGGTTGAAGTCGATGAGATTCACTCAATCATGATGTCGTGGGAGAATGTTTCGATCTAAGAATAGCGGTTGAGGGTTGCTTCCCTTTGTAGTGGCTCACAAATTTTGCAGCTGTAGAGGTTGGAAATCGGTGGTAAATGAACAATCAAGAGGTGTTAGGGAGGAAGTTGAAAGGTCAGGGGGTGGAGTTTCAGAGGTTGAAGACAAGGGTATTTTGGGAGATAAACATTATTTTAAGGATGAGAACAGTGGCTGAATTGATGAACGTGTGGGGACTGGTTTTATCTCCTAGGAATCAAAAAGATCCGAGTTTCTGGACCCCGGGTCTTTAATTTATATGGGGCTGAGCCGGTTCTTGGTTTTGAAGTTGGGCTTGGGTTAACCTATTTTGACTTCAACTAAATTTGAAACAGGTAAGATTTATGGGTTAGAAAAGGGGTCAGCTGAGAAGTTGTAAGAAGATGATATTGAGAGGTGATCGAAAATGATAAGCTGGTATTGGTGGCGATGTCTGGAACCACCAAGAAAAAGGTAGGAACTAAAGATTAGAAGGACACATTGAATGCAAGGAAACAATTGGAAAAATCTACTGTTGGGGTTTTGGAAAGCAAAAGCATAGAAGTGAGAGGTAGGGGGAATTTCATTTGTACATCACAAAATGCAACTACAAAGATCATGAATTGAACAAGGAAGCAAGAAACAAGAAGGTGAATAAAGTTATCAACCAAAGAAAAGAGGCAAGAAAAACGATCATGTCTAATAGAGTTGGAGATACCATAGGTGCTTTGGATGGAGTTAATTGAGAAGTGACACTAAACAGGGTTGGGCTTAAAGACATTGGAGTGGAGATGGAACTACTTGAAGACATTTTAGAAAATTATAACTCTTGATCGATAATTTCTATTACCAACCATAGAGGTGAGTTTGTTTACTTCAAAAGAATAACTTTTTGAGTTTGGTGCTAGGAGAAATGATAGTCTAGGAACTCGTAAGTACTAACTACTAAACTTAGATTGAGGGGCTTAGATAAAATGATGTAAAGTTAGAAAGAACATTAACAGAAAGTGAAGTTGAAAAAGTGGGTGAGAATCTGGAGAGGTTTGGATTGGCCGAAATTGTCTGAGGAGAATAAGAGGTGGCTTGAAAGAAAGTTTGAGATGGAGGAAATTAGGGTAGCAATCTTTTCAATGGATAGATCTAAAGCACCAAGACTTGATGGATTCACCATGGCTTTTTACTAGGATTGCTAGGAGATACTAAAGCAAGATATGATTAAAGTCTTCAATGAATTTTTCCATAGGGGGTGATAAATTTGGGGATGAACTCAACCTTTATTGCTTTGGTCCCAAAGAATGTGGGAGCAAGTTAACCAAGAGACTTTAGGCCCATCAGTTTGGTTAATAGCTTGTATAAGATAATTGCTAAGGTCCTGTCAAGAAGAATCAGAGAGGTGCTTCTGGATCTAATT